CAGATGACGTCAGCGCCGATGCGACACGCCTAACACGAAAATCAAGGGGCAGAAGGGGGCCATTTCTCGGACTCTAGGCTGTTTTTTTGTAAGTTTCTTCATCCTTACATTATGGCAACCTCTGAGTTGGCTGCGACTGATTGTGAGCTGAATTTCTTATAAACTCCTCTCCTGAAGGTGCAATTGGGGAAGATCTCCCATTTACCCGACTGAAGAGTGCCTGACGGAGGATCCTCTTGCAAGGGCGCTAGGGCCTTGCAAAGACCGCTGTCATTTCAACCTCATCCACAGCGTGCTGGTTTTCTGTGCCTTCTCACCCGTTGTGCTCTCACGCTTTCCCCTCTCCTCAACGCTCCGTCCCTCGTTGCCTTAGCACAGAAATGAGAAAACCCCCAAAATTAGCGTTTTAAACCACACTTTTCTTTATTATTCCCTTCGCACACCTGATTTCAGAATCATGAGTGAGAGCCACCAGTTTGATGTTGAGATGTGCTCTAAGGAAATCTGTGCACAAAAAGCGGAAGTGATGTGTGTAACAACAGGGCAATCACCACTCTTTACTATTGAAAGTCACAATAGCCAATATGCACAATCAGTCATTCCATTGTTAAACGCACATCGCTGTTGCCATAAATTGTCTGCCAGCCTTAATTACCGGACTTGGACCGATCGCTGATATCACGCAACATTCGAAATATTCGCGACATCTCCGGTCGTTTTGCTGGATCTTTTTCCCAACACGAGTAGACTATTTCAGCGACACTTTTCGGTGTATCCTGAATTGAGAGTCACTCTGAGGAAGGTGATATACTGATAAACATTGGAAATACTCGAAGCTACTTTCTAACATTTTTGAGCAAAATTCACCTTCGGCATTTCCATTCTATAGTTTTGAACAACAATTTTGGCACGAGTTTGAAGCCTCGTTAAACCGGGATACGGTTCGGCGCCGTCTGCGTATATTTCCCAAACAAGGACACCTTTAAGAAAGAATGTCAGTATTCATAATACTTCTTAACTACATTCTGAATCTGAGACTTTTAGGCATGTCAGATGCATAGGAAGCGCCAGGCCAAATCTGAGTGTACTCGAATAAAATTTTTTTGCATATCGTCCGTACAAAGTGCCCGCCTTGCGCTTGAAGGATCAATTACTGTAAAGAGTACTCACTGATTTTGGTTTTTTCTATGGCTATACAGAGCATTCTTTTGTGGGCATCCCGGCCCGTCACACGATCCTCAGATATCAAAAACATGCAACATCGCTGTCGAGGGTCTAGTCGTAGTTGCTTCACCCTGAAGCCTTGGCCAACATATGTAATCATTTGCGTGGTGTGAGTAGCCCAGAGAAAACATGTTTGCTTGTCACAATGCAAAGACCTCTGCCGACCAGCTTTCCAGACAACGTCACAATGGTTCCCGATCCTTGAGGAAGTATTTCAGCCCGAACCGTACACTGTGCTCCCGTTGCAGATTCTTAATTTGCCTTTCTTCACCCTGGATTGACCCACATATGGGTGGAAAAAATCCCATTTTGGTGAGACCAGTGAGTTAGTCACAAACGACCGTTCTGACGGGCTCCGTGCAGGGCCGAATCGCGTCCGATTGGAACAAGAGTCGCAGACGAGGCGGGTGGGGGTGCTATTTGGATGGGGGGGGGGGGGTGGAAAACGGGGGTCGGATTTCGCGAGTAGCGTTAATTGTACATGTAACAAGAAGAGGATCTTTTTAATGGAACGGAGCACGTAAGATATGTGGCTGGTTTTATTTTTCGTTGTTCGGGTTGAGTGCGGAATTTTGCCAGTTCAGGACGCTGCGATAACCTATAATCTCCACTCGACGGGCGATTTGGAGGGAAAAAGCCGGGGGGGCGTCTTAAGGCTGTGGGTCGACTGTCCTCCAGGTCAGGAATTAAGTACTATTGAAATCAACGTCATGAATGGTGATGGCAAGGCGAGGGTGGAGGAATGGTCAGTGAGGGGGTAACCCTGAGAGAGCGGGTCGTATCGAGGCGATCCTTTGAGGAAGGAAGCGGGTTCGTAAAGGTTCGAATTAGTCCAACGTGGTCGGGTTGACCTTGACCCGGCCAAACAGAGCCTGAGATTATGTGCTTTCTCAATCCTATCTTTTCTTCGAGGTAGAGAGAACTGGCGGAAACTGTATGCAATTTCTAAATTTTCGGAATTAACTTTCCAAGCTCTAAAAACCTCTCTCCCATACATCCATTTCTATAAGAAACCTGTCAGTTTCATCATGTCATCGTGTTTCCCTTACCTAGTAAAGTAATGAATACGACCCCCTGTCCTCGCGCCTCCCGCTTTGTTGGCGCGAGATTGCCTCAATGAATACGACCCCCTTCTCTCGCCCTCCCTTTGTTGGAATTGCCCAATAGATGGCTGGCCGATGGACAACCTACACGGGGCCGTGTGCCTGCTGGGTTCAGGGGGCCTTGTTCTCTTTTGGAACAATCGTGAACTTCTGAATAGAAAAGAATTCTACCGTAAGACCAGACATCTGTTTTGAGCGAGTAGATTTTATCTTGAAGTGTTTCCGGTGCCAACCATTTTACCGGAACCTGTAATGGTGGCCATGGTGAATACAGTAAGGAAATTCTCACGCGGAAACCTTGCCTTTTCTAATGTGTCGTCGTGAACGATCACTTTGTCGTCTGACATACCGAAATCGGCGATTTTAATCTCCTACAACATAGAAGTCGTGCAATCGGCTAACGATAAGACTAAAAAACTGAAGAAGGGCCGGATTTGCGAACTGAAGATGGCTTACATATTTTGCACCGAGTAAACAATTTCTCGCTGCTATATCTCGATGTATGCAGAGTTTCTTTTCCAAGTATGCTAGGCCATCGGAGGCTTCTGTTGAAAACCGTAACTTTTCTGACAGAGGTGTGTTTCCTTTGTTTTTTCGCAAGTAGGACAACAAGGAACCGTCTGAAACATGTCTAAGTGAAAATTCTAATTTGACGTTCAGATTAGGAGAATGGGCGCTATCGCAATATACGGGGGCATTGTGGTGTCAATGCATTTAGAAACAGCGTAAAACATGTCTTTTTGTTAAAACGGACTAAGCCTTAGGCGGGGAGGAGAGCTCCAAGGTGCGTGAACCATTTTCATTTTTTCGGAGCTCACAGACACTCCTACTCTTAGTCTCAGAGGATGGTCCCGTATACTGCGATAACGTCGGAGACTGTTTAGACAGCCGCGTCCTTCCTGACATCAGGGCTAATCGTCCTTTGAAATTTTCTCAAGAAAGGAAGAGGCAGTAGTTTCTCTTGAATGCAGGAGTATCTTAAGAAGAGATTTATGTGTGCATATCTCCGTTCGTCGCACTCTTAGAGTCCTAGGGCGAAGTTTCGGAGCGTGTCCAGATGAAGTAGAGGACTCTTCCTCAAGGGGAGGGGTCGCCATCTCCATTTTTTCCATTTTCTTTACCCAGGATAACAGTAATCGCACCCGCTCACCATGTTTTCATTGAGCTAATTCAGGGCGTTTGTACAGTATGACGTACAGTAACCGATGTGTTTGCATTCCATAACGCCAGCAATCAACTTACTCGTGCGTTGTACCGGGGCCTTTCCTACCCAAGATTTTCCAGCGACACATGTTTGTGATTGTATTTCCGCATTAGTCGGGCTTCTTTCATGAATTTTAAACGAGCATCTCTTGTAGCCTGAATATTTGATTTCGTCGTTGAAACTTTATCTGAGTATGTCTGTGTTTTCGGATGGTATAACAATGAGGATAAGGATAAAGCATTTGCCGTTGATCAATACCTTTTGGGATGCGGCACGCATTCTACTTCCATTTGTACATTCGTAGTGGCGTTTGAATGCGATGTGGCCTATACAAAATGACTTGCTCGTATATAACTTTTTATTGTATACATTTATTTAACCATTGCACAGATGAGAAATTAAACCTTAAAAATGTGAACAGTAACCAATACTGTAAGACTTGCGGAGCTGGTACGCTATTAACGAACGTCTGGGCCGGTTACCACCGTCCAATGAACACGAGCCAGGATCGGTGGAAGGGGAAGAAGTACAAGAAGCAAGGAAAAAAGGGAAAAAAGGAGGGGGGAGGGGAAAAGGGGGGGAAGTTGGTCTGGGCGACACGGGGTCGTTATTGAGCCGACGGGAGAGGGGGTCGTATTCTCAAAGGTCAACGTCTCAATGCGTAGATGAGAGGCATAAATTTCAAGGGCTCCTCCAACTATAAATAATCACTATCGAGTTTCATGACCTCAAAAACACAGAGTATTCTCACTGACGGAAAGGTGCCGCAGATTTACTGACCACGCCACGAAACATTGCTGCATGCTCCTCGATGGAATGCCATAATGTTTCTCAAACCGCGGGACTATAAGTTAAGGTAAAAAAAGTGTACCAACGGGGAGTAGACTAATAAGGGCTTACAAGGAGACTATGGAAAAGAAATATTCAACTGTCTACAATTTTCCTGAAAAGGTTTCAGTATCCATCATGAAGCACAAAGCCTGTGCGATGTCAAGTTATCACTACTCTCCTCATAGTTCTAGCCCTTCAAGAAGGGGGGGACGTAAAAATTTTCAAAATTTGTCCAACGTGAAGGTGAGACGCCTCGCTCATCACGGAGGATGGAAGTGACTTTGGTTGCCCGATAACGCACTTCCTCGGATTGATCCTCAGAACCGCTCCGCAAGTGAAAGCGTTCACTTGCCACTACACCACTGCCGCCATTGCGTGTCTTGATGGATGAAAGCATCCACTATTCTCACTGAGGTCTATTTCAGCAAAGACCAAGCTCCACTAAGGTCAAATGCAGATTGCCGAATGTGGCCAGGCTGGGCATGATCCAATGCCCAGATGACGTATTCGACCCCCACCTCCAACAAAAAACTCACATCCATGAAATTGTCCTGTGACGATCCTGCCTCTGATCGGCAAACCGCGGAGAGCGAACCATTTTCCACTTCCCCACCGCTATATCAAATTCAAAATGTCTCTACATCGAAAACGAATTCGTGGCGCATCCAGCGGCAGACTGATCCAAGTTATATGAAACCATCTCCTGTCCTTGACCCTTACTATCACCAAAGACGAACCTCATTTCCTCATAGTTTTCACGGCTACCTCTTGCTTTGTTTTGCCGCTACCGTATTCGGCCAGATACACTTCACCGAAAGCGCCTTCTCCGAGTTTCTGTCAAATGGAATATTTTAGAACAATACAGACAAAGTGAAGTATATCGATGATATCGTACTTTTACAAGTACAATAGAACGTGTTGAGAACGCCACTGATTTCTGCTCTAACCACGTGGACGCTGGCGACAGCTCGTGCATTGAAGCTGCGACAAAGGTGGTTTTTTGTGGCCCTAAACCTGGCTAAAATATAACCAACAAATAATGAAGGCTGGGCCCCGGGTAAATCAAGGTCCTTCCAAAGAATCAGGTACACGTGCTGTCTCCGCGCGCCAGACCCCTAGTGGTATTTAGTTTCATTGTTACAGTCGCCTGCGATTCTCTATCGCATGCAGTAGCCGTATAGAACACTACTTAAAAGGAATCTTCGCGGAAAAAGCTCCGCCTCCATTACCACAGAAAAACGATACCTTAGGCCCCTAGCCTCATGAGCATAGCAAAAAGAACGGAACATAAGCGTTAGTTTCGATAATACTAATCCTACACACAAGACAAAATGATCACTCTTTCCGTGGAAGATTCCTTTAAGGTATCGTTTTCTGGTATGAAGCGTAAGCTTTTCCGTGGAAGATTCCTTTAAGAGTTGGGCTAGAGAGGTCAGAGAGGAGCAAAAAATTGGTTAGATGCACGGCTAGCACTGATTGTTGCCACCGTTCTTATATTTATACCCACTACGGTGTCGTCGTGCCCTCTTATGTTGCCGCGACACCCATTTCCTGGGCCATGCCGTAAGCGTCCTGTTCGCAACATAATCGAACGAGAGAGTCGCATTTTCGATTTGGGGAGGGGTGCGTCGCATTTGGGCTGAGCAAGATGACGCTATAATGGAAGGGAGTGGTAAAAAAGTGGTTTGCATTTGACCGGGATTTGTTACGAACGCACCGTTCGGCGAAAGTTAACGAAAGGAGAGTAGCGTGAATTATAACTGTGGAATTCTATAAAGCTGCAGAAATGCTAGAGTTGCTGCTGATAACCAAATTGCGCCATTTTCAACGATTCGATCATTGCTCACTCAGCCAGCTCTGACGTTTGGAACTTGTTAAAAAATTGTATTATATTATAGAACAAAGAAAATCGTTCTTGAGCACTCACAAATGCCATGCTATTAAATCTGCAATACTTTTCTCATGATGATGCTCGAGGTAGAATGTTCCTGATGGGTCTCTTGATTAATCATAAAAATGTTTGACGCCGCTTTCTGTTTTACATGAAAGTGCCAAAACAATCATACCTGAAACAGGTGCTGCTATTGTACAAGTGACTGCAATGTCCCTTTCAGGTATGTCTAAGCAATCGACTTCTGTTCGAGTTGTATTCGTGTTGCTGGGTAAAATCGAACGGTCAGGCTTCAGATGGGAAATCCAGCTCGGGGTCATCTCCACTATTTCTCCAATACTTAAAGGACGAATACACGATAAGAAAGACGGTCGGTGATGGGGGGAATTGGCACTAGTTGGGATCAGCAGAGGGGGAAATTGCATAGTTGGGAGACAGGCGGACCTCCTGAGGGTGCTGACCGACGCGCAATTGGCAGCGAAAGATTTGACCTCGGCGATCTAGCATGGCTCACTCTTGGCGCGGTTGGCGGTGTACGCCCACCGACTATCTAATCACTCGCCGCAGGTCTATACGTGGCGAGTGATTAGATAGCAGAGAGAGCGTAGTGTTGAAGAGGGCACAGCGATGAGAGTCGCATCAATGCGCAAATCAACGGGCAAGGAAGGGGTCCCATTTCTCGGGTTCTGGGCCGTTTTCTCATGGTTTTTCCTTCTTTCGTGTATCCACTCACCATCTCTAACTTAATTTGAAATGGGTTGCTTTTTCAGCGTCAATTCTTCCTTCAAGATAAGGATGAGGGGCTTATGACACGTAATCGACTCATTTAAAGTAGACTTCTGATAAGTATCGGTGTAATGTGGAAGAAGATGTTTCACATTTCCGCCTGCCATGACCCAAGGGAACGGTCCTGGACCAGGAGAAAGGACACCTCCGCAAAGGGCTAAGGGTGCAGGAGCTCCAGGGTGGATCACCTGTGCAGAAAAGTGGATGGGATGTGGGCAGGTAGTGTGGAATGTAGGACATCCACCGGTCCTTATCAAAAGTACGCTCGAAATGAGTCGTTCACTTATTATCTTATCCGTAGTGTTCGATAGCCCAAAGAACTGCTCTCTAGTACTACGGATAAGATAGCAATGGAGTGCCCCCCCCGAACTGGAGTTTCACCGTTTCAAATTATTCAGTGGTCACCGCAGTCAGCAAACAATCGTGTTTCTGCACTATCCACAGAACTCCATAAAGGCAGCCAGTGTGATTGCTGGGAGGCAAGTGGGAAAGAGGTCAACACATTCCTACCGCCACCATCAAAGGCAGAATGTCGCAGCTCGCGACGGTAGTTCTGGGCGCACCGCGCCCCCAGGCTCTGTCGCGCTTACGGTCGCGAACGCGACACATGCTTCGACAAGGGTAAACATCGGTAGAGGTTTTGTTTGTTAACTGCTGTTTTTGGCCGCAGTTCGCCTTGCGAATGTTTCACAAGAATGCTGGGTTGTGAACAAAACTTTCGCCCCAGGCGGGACTAGAACCCGCACCTCTCGCTTTCCGGGCAAGTGCGCTACCAGTTACGCTACCGGGGCACCATTTCATTCCAACTCAGCTCTTCATGGTATACTCACCATAGCTCAAGCTATGCCGTGTTCGCTTCAGTCACACCTTCGGCTGAGACTACTTCAACGAAAGGAAAGGGCTCAGCCTCACTGGAGAAGTCCTTCCTATGGAGGAAGTAGCTAGGTCAGTCACTGCAATGATTGCGCTACTTTCGCTCCTCTGAACACACAGTCACTAAGATGCTAGGCGTTTATGGAACGCTCACAGTAGGCGTATGTACGAGCGATCAAGCGAGTAGTCGTCAGCGGGTTAGTGCGATTGGGAATAGGCATAAGGCGAATGCTACTATGGATTTGATTGCTCCGCCGTCATTTGAGCGGTCTCCTTAATTCGACCAATCTGCCGTAATCGCGTTACGCTCTCCACTACTAGAACGGTCCATTGAGAACTGGACCAGATATTACGCTTAGAATGCATCCGTGCTCGCCCAGCACTTCGAAATCCTATAGGCGTCAAATGTTGATCCGCTGTTCTCTCGACTCGTAGTTCTTTTCCTCTCCGCGACTCACATTGTCCCCTATATCGCTGTCAGCCTCTTATCGTTAGACTTCTCTGCATAGGAGCAAGAAGGTTCGTAGTCCTTCGTAGTCTGTATTCTGACTATTCCTTTCCCTTTTTTCTCCACATGCCGACCTCATCGCATCCCTACTTTCACATTCGCGTGGGATTACAAGGATCAAGATCGAGAACAACGGAAGAGGTGTGAACCTGCAAGCAAATGCCGAGCTGTTCGACGGATCCTAATGAATGGAAGCAGGCTCTCCGTTAATGTGTGAGTTATGTCATCAGGTAAAGCTGGGCTCAGTTGTAACATACATATTGTGTGCATCGACCGATTAGGGCGCTCAATGTGCGCGGCGTGACCGGTGCAGCGACAGATAGCCAACAGTACCTATCGCCGTGCACGTCTCTGATTATTCAAACTTATTCTTCCTTACTATGCCCTACTCATAAAGGTACCAGTCTGCTGGTTGGCATAGGTGGAGCTCGGTCTGCACCTAATGACGCTTGTACGCCACGCGTGACTTCACTAATCAATGCACATTCACCCCACTAGGTATGGACAGTGTTCACTTCCGCTCAGTACATACTATGGAGCGGTCATAGTTGGCGACCATACGTGCGACTAGGCGATTAGGCGACTAGGCGACTAGGCGGGGTGCGTAATGAATGACTTGTTCCGCCTATAGAGCGTTGCAAGTGAGTAGGCGAGTAGTCGATCAGGTGAGTAGGCGATAAGAGAAGGATACGTATTGATTTGTGCTCCATGAGCGATCGCCTAATCGCCTAATCGCCTAATCGCCTACTCGCCTACTCGCCTACAACGTTCTATGGGCGGAGCAAACCAATCAATACGTATGTAAGTGCTCCCGCCTAATCGCCTACTCGCTTATCGCCTGATCGCCTAATCGCCATGTGCGATCGCCAACTCTGAACGCTCCACTAGCTCGTGAACAACCGCATGCCCGCGGGAGTGTTTTGAGTTTGATCACGGTAAAGTGCGAGCAACGAGACTTCATTTCAGCACTTCTTCTTCTAAAAGTCGGCCGGTCTTTACTCCACATGCCATGCTGAGGGATCCGATGATACTGCCTACTGTTTCTCCATACGCCCCTTAGGGCAGGCACGTAACTAGTTCAAACGACCTTCTCTGATGAACCGTTCTGGGCTACTTGAATACTGCCTTCGGGTAAGTGCGCAATATTCGTCTGAGCTTGGCATCTATTGGGGAAGGAGTTGTGGAACTAGTCTGGATGAGTGAAGCGTCGTTCTTCCTACCGGGTGAGTGTTCGGTCTTCCGTAATAAGAAGTCTCCTTCTCTTTTTAGTAACGGTTCCGCGTCCATTCTGCAACAAACATTGACAAGATGCTGCAGATGGAAGTCCAAATTCTAGAACATACCGAGGAATGAGTCCGTGATAATATTCTGCACCACGGACGTCGTCTGTTATCGAGACAGCATCATCGCCTGCTTGTGAGTTCTGCAAGTGCATCTATCAGTCTGCATACACAGCAACTTGAGAAGAAGCGAAACTCACCCCATCGTTCGTGTTCTCGGTCTTGTCTTTCTTGCCTTTGGCCATCAGCGGAATGAGACCTACCGCTCAATTTAGGGCCTTTTCAATCAGACGGCCAAGAAAGTAAACAATGGGTGATTATCAGTTTGGAACTTTGAGTTCTGTAGGTATAGAATGAATCTTCTGAACTGATGAGGGAGGTTTGCTCGGTGGTATACTTCATATCCGACCGTCTGATTAGGCGATTCTACGGAGTTGATGTGGCGACCACCGCACTTGATAGAAGTCGCGCGGATAAGCCGCTTCCAACTCTCATTCTTATGGTTAGCTGGGAATCAGCAAGCAGGCCAGAAGCAGCATTAAATTAATTATTAGTCATTATTATTGATTATTATATTACATATTTCACATATTATTATTAATTATTGTTAATTAATTTTTTTAAACTGATAAATTTTCTCTCAACTGCTGCGCGCAACTGTCTTCCGCGGAGGATCGATGAGGCCTTTGTATGGGAACATGACCTAGGCAATAAAGCCACCCAATACTCAATCAAAATTTAGCCGTTCCGGGTGGATTTGTACACGGGCTCCTCTTAGCGGTTTGGCCCCGTAAACTTGAATCTACTGACTCAAGCAATGTCTGATTTAATGAGCTCTGATATACAGTAATTAAAAGTTTAAACTGCTTCAGGTGAAGAAGGTTGTCAATTCGTACCACAATCAAGCAGCATATCGCTGAGCAAAAGTGCGCAGTCAATAATTGGCTCACCTGCCCAGGGTTGGATCCAGTAAGCCTAGCGGCCATTTTTGTGACGCTGTCATTGCAGTGCCAGGAAACTGGGAACTACAGACGATAAGAAAAAAGTTTTACGTTGAGGCTGAGGTGGTCTAGCGACAAGTGGCGCTGCTTACTATGTGCGCGCCTCCCAGACCAACCAAGTGTTCCATTCAGTATCGGTCAATTAGTACTGGACTTGCAAAGGAGGATAAAAACACTGACTTGTATTACTCGATTGGCTTCCGTAACTCACTGTATGGGCTAAATCGCATTCAATTTATCACCACGATTTAAAATGGATATAGAATATGTGGCGCATCCAGAATAGGCTCGATTAACGTCCAGCGCTTTCTCATTTATAATTACTTAATGAAACAGCAAAAAATTGAGACTCTTTCACGAATCCCGATAAAAATCACGATTAACAAAAAAATATAGAAGAACCCATTCTATTAAGTGCTATCCCCTTTTAAGAACCATAAATACGACACCCTTCGGTGACAGCTGGATTGGAATGGTTGACCTTCCTCGAATGAACCAGTCAAAATTGGCGCTCGGTCACCATGGTGATGAAGCTCTGGCGACTATGCTGAAGCTAAGCTACATTTGTAAATTTTGCTCGATTAGCAACTTTTCTTCTGATTCTCTTGCTCAGAGTAGATCACCAATTCATTTTTTTTATGTTCAATTTTCTGAGAAACTTCTTTATACATCCCTTTTTCGACTTCATTCTTATCACTGGCAATTTTTATACTGGACTCAATAAGGGTCTCTCAGTGAATTGCGCATGCTTTCATAGCACCAGTTGGGTCCAGACATACGTTAACGGGTTTCATTTTTTATGCACCTCTCCGCATTTTGCACCTTCTCACATCTTTATTCGACCCTATCACCTCGCTACAAAAGCACTTTTAAAGCTTTCCATATAAAATTATGGTTCCACTATCGACGCGGCTCTCGCAAGGGTAGCTTTATCCATCGCTGAGGCAAAACCATGCCTGAATAAGGTGTCACGCACCGAAGTGTCTTGAAAGCTTTTGAGGATTCTTTTTGATTTGTTTTGGAAGAGCTGAAATCTTACGGATCTTTGGAAATCTCCGAAATAAACCAAGACATCACTTCACATGCTAGTTATTTTTATCATTAATTCAAAACTATTGGGAGCTGAGACACTCCCGGGGATGACGGGACGGCCAGCAACACTCATTCACCTAAAGTTTTTTTTCTAGCGTTGATCCCGCCCAGCCTTAGGGTCCACTGTTCGTTTGAACTTCAGCATCTGGTGCTGGAGTCCAAGGCATCTTCTGCTGTGGTCCTGACTTTGGCGAACCCTTCTTCATGTCATCATCCCCATGTATACTTCGGGGCTCTTCGTAGTAACTTACCCTGAACTGTACAGCATTTTCCTTATTGGGTGGTCCGGTGGCCTCCTCAGCACACGCCCATATCGCAAGCCCTGCTTCTGTTCGGCACAACCTCACTTCGAGCGGTTTGGATCGCACCTTCGATTGCAGACAGTTCCAGTGGAC